GGTAAAGCACCTTAAGACCCTTCCATCTATGAAGAGTATTTGATTCTACCATATCTGGGTCTTGAGAAGAAGATTTTTGAAATTTTAGTCAATTTGACCCTTTTTGGCCCCGCCCCTCAGGCTCCTTGGGGCCAGGGACCAAACCGGCAACTACTTTTGTTGACCTTTGGCCATGGAAGGTTTCTGCAAAATTTCATTGAAATTGGTTCCGGGGTTTTGGAGAAGAAGTCGAAAATGTAAATTGTTTACGGACGGACGATGGACGACGACAGACAAAAGGCGATCGCAATAGGTCACTTGAGACTTTGTCTCAGGTGACCTAAAAAAAATCATAGAAACTGTAATAGAGATTATTAAGAAGACGACATTAGAAATTTACAACACATTTCATATTTTTTACTACAAATTCAGGTCAAAATCCTTTATTAGAATAAAATTGACAAGTGCACAGAACTGATTGATGTCTGTGAAAGGTGAAACGTACCTCGTTTAATGCCAGTGTAGGAGTTGAGTCTGTTGTCTACCATGAGGATGAGGCCACACAGGTTATTTGAGTACAGAGACATGGCCGTCTGTAACCTCTGAGGCTGAGGGATCACCAAACCACTGTAATACAGTAAAAATTAAACTGTTTTACAAGTTATGGCACAAGCCTTTTCCAACTTCTACTATTAATCTTGTTGGCCACAATGGAAATGTACATGGGTTTTTACTGTGGGAGGAAACCAGAGTTCCCGTAGAAAACCGATGTGGCTAGGTAGGTGACCTGGTACCTTTCACATTTGATCGGGGAGTCAAACCCAGGCCTTCGTGGAGAAAGGTAAATAGGTTATCCACTAAATCGCCAAACTACCAATTACATTATTGATATATGTACCTATGATATATTTACAAAATGTATCATCAAACATATACCAAGTAACACTATATAGTTTGTTACTACCAAGTAACACTATAAAGTTTGTTACTAAAGACAGCAAACAAGAAATCAAGATGGTGATGTTAAACAAATTGATAAAGGTCAATTTTTTTTCCCCAAATATTTTCACATATTCTTAGCATTGAGTATTGCTGTCCTGTAATAAAAGTTAATTGGTGTTAGCAAAATATATCCATTGCTCAAATGCTTGAGAATAATTTTCTTTGAACTTTTCTTCTCATATATAAGACTCCAGGCTTGGTAGTTCTTGAGTGGTTGAATTTTTCAACACATTTGACATTTAAGACCTTAAACATGAATCAAGTTAATTATTTTATACAAACTGAAAAGTGTTTTAACTTTTGTGTTGGGATTTTTTTTTGGTAGTAGGTGATGCAAGGCTTGACTTCTGGCATCCTGTCATATTTATGTTGGACACTGAAACAGTGTTTTTTTTTTTTAAATAACTGTGCAATTACAGCCTTTGGGGGCAGCCCTTGGTAAAAGGGATGATTGTCCACATCAAGTTTAGTTTGTATGTGAAATATCATAAGAGCAAATTAAAGAGAGACCTTTTGGGGCAGATGAGCCAATATAAATTAATAGATAATTGTGTCCTCCTCAATCATGTTTGCGTACACCATACAGACACTCTATCTTAATCAATCCTTTTGTATTTTGTGATGCCATACAGATATGTTTTTCCTATATAACTGCTTGTCTTTTATAACAACCATTCATCATTGTACTCTACCCGACTGTGTGTGTTTTATGACGACACAGATCCAGCACATCCGTACATAGAAGACGAAGGTTATGGGTAGTTTTCATCTGGGCACCTGGAAGGGAATTAAAATGAAATGCAAGAAATTGAAAAAATTTCCTTATCATATTTTTCACATCGATAAATACAGATTTTATTTGGTTTCTTTTATAAAAATAACTTTTTAAACCTGTATTACTATGCATCATTACTGAACAGACTTCTTTAATACTAAATTAAAATCCATGTTACAAGTATGTGATCTGTATAAACACCAATCTTAAACAACTAACTAAACACTTAAATGCCTTAATCTACTGAAGATTTTATCATTAGTGTGTGCTTTTCATCCTTTTTTTTTAGCAAAAAAATTGACCTTTGACCTATCCCCTTACAGAAATATTGAGTCTCTGGCACACTATTGCTGCGATAGCGTTGTGTGTTCAGATTTTGTATGCAAATTATGCAGAATATCGCCAGAAAATTCTGGCGGACTTGCAGCGATATAGCCAGAATGTTCTGGCACACATGCGGCAATATAGCCAGAATGTTCTGGCACACTTGCAGCAATATTGCCAGAAAATTCTGGCGGACTTGCAGCGATATAGCCAGAATGTTCTGGCACACTTGCAGCAATATAACCAGAATGTACTGGCACACTTGCAGCAATATAGCCAGAATGTACTGGCACACTTGTAGCAATATAACCAGAATGTACTGGCACACTTGCAGCAATATAGCCAGAATGTACTGGCACACTTGTAGCAATATAGCCAGAATGTTCTGGCACACTTGCAGCAATATGGCCAGAATGTTCTGGCACACTTGTAGCAATATAGCCAGAATGTTCTGGCACACTTGTAGCAATATAGTCAGAATGTTCTGGCACACTTGCGGCAATATAGTCAGAATGTTCTGGCACACTTGCGGCAATATAGCCAGAATGTTCCAGTGCAGTTGCGGCGATATCACCACAGGCTAGGGTTCTGGTGATATTGTGACTCACCCACTCTGCATGTCTTGGCAAGCAAGATTGGTATTCCCACAATCAAATATATTGCAACAGGGTTGTGCATATTGTTAAGATAATAATTCATAGCTTATATTGATCAGAGATTGGTTACAAAGTTCAACACATATATATATATGGATTATTTCACAATGTGATCTTCGTTAATAGTAGTTATCAACAGTGTTGATATAATGTATAAGTACGAACTGTTTTATAAGAAACCGTTCTGTATGGAAGCAAAATGAACTTCTGTAAAAATAGTACAGCAAGACCTTAAGCAAGATTTTGATACGATGTACTACACTTTCTAAATACATGAACCTAGTAGAATTGTGTAGGACACAAATTAAACTTTATATTGTTGTTTGAAATTCAGTTAAGATTTTACATGTTTTATGACCATTGATTATAAAAAACATAGAAGAAAACATATTCTACATCACCTTATAAGACTCAAGAAGGCTATCACTTTATCCAAACAAGACTATAAAGGCTCCTTATTTCACTCAACATTTCCCTTCACCATGAGCTCTCCTTTATTCATCAGCCATTTAATGATTTTTGAATTTGGGGGTCAACTATATTTAGACAAGTTACAGAGGAACATGGGAGTTCCTTATCCGTGGTGCACTTCTGGTGATATTCTGGTGACATTCTGGCGATATGAAAAGTGTGCCAGAACATCACCAGAATGTCACCGCTAGCGCAATATTCTGTGCACTTCTGGCAACATGTCCTGGCGAACTGATTTGTGCGCCGCAATATCGCTGCAAACTTTCTACTTCTGTAAGGGCAAACTTCCAAACTTACATGAACAACTCAATAATGAACTTAGAGTACTACCTAAATGTACGGTGAAGCTCTCCTCCAGTCGAGTTGTAGCTGATGACCTTTCCTCCTCCTCAGCCTCCGGGAGAGTGTTGCTCATAGCCCTTACTCGCCCACTTTAAAAGCAACAGAAAGTAACCAATTTTTTTAAACAATAAAACAATGCACATATTGTTTTGTAGAGGAATTTCAGATTTAGATATATTTTTCTTGTCTGTTTGAAGCTTAAGATATATCAGTATTGTCCTTTTGAAAAAAACCTTAGGGGAGAGATTTAACAGATATCTGAGTGTACTGTACTTACATGTAGGAGGGGGACTTTGCAGGGATCTGGGTGTCCTCGTGAACTTTGATAATCCAATCTCGGAATTCATGCTTCTGAATGTCTTTCAGGTTGTTTAATTCACTATTCCATTTATTTTCTATTAACTGAAATTTCAGAAAATGAATACATGTAAGATTTTTTTTTTTTCCCAGTTAAGCTTTTTTTTTTTTTTATTTCAATCAAACTTGCTAGCAAAGGTATGAAAATCTGAATTTCCATGAAACTGATTGATATATAATTTCCTGCTACATTCACAGTTACCATAGACAGTGTGGAAAGGAATACCCAGCGAATATTATACCTTGATTTATGGTCTCCATGAATATATATTACAGTAACCAAAGAAAATTTTGTGAACCCGTTAACTTTTGAATAATGAATCAATATCAAAATTTAATTTATTTTCATGAAAAACTTGTAAAATATATCCCATCACCCAAACACAAAAGGCCCCTTCAATATTTTTACCTAGCCATGTTGTGTGAGATTTAATCCCAAAGAACTAGTTCTAACCGGGACAACCACAAAATTTTAGCCCTGCGAAATTAAACAACTTTACAGTAATTTGTGTAAAACTGTAATGTTTTATTCATGTGCCAATAAACAGTAAAATTAAAAAAAAGTCTTTCCATTTGAGGGAGATTTGAGACAAATTCTGACATACCTGAACACTTTCAAGATGTCGCTGAGCCAGTTGGCTAATTTGATCATCCGTGTATGTCTTTCCCACTTCTTTCAGTGCCTGCTCCATTTCCTTTTGCTGTCTGGCAAACAATCCCATGTTAAATTAATGTGTTCAAGTCAATCAAAACAAAAGTTAGAGTTTCTGATCAGGCCTACAATGAGGCTCAAATCAAAGGGGCATAACTCTGCAAAGATTGTGGGAGGAAGTTGCATAGTTACTACATAGTAATAAATTATACAAGTTTCCTGTGATATTGACAAAGGATCAGGCAGTTTTTTTTAGCAGAAGCAGTCCAGACAAACATCAGCCAGACAAACAACCTGATTCCAACCTCTAACCTTTTTGCCCTTTTTTGGGATTAAAGTTCTGAACATTCAAGAACTTTTTAAAAGAATAAAGTGCATTGTGCGTTGACTTTTCACTTCATCTTAAATACATTTTACAATTATAATGTGATGTAAGTATTATATTTACAAAATCATGTGCATATGCTCAAACCTTACTATACTGCCACCATCTGTCTGGTAAAAATTTAGCACTATAAACAGTTTGGATGATATTTGAATCAATAAAGACTTTGAGCCTGTTCACCAATCCGGACATATCAGTGAGTCCATTTTTAAAATATAAGATTTCACAGAACAATCCTGATTGACCTGCAAATGTTAACGCAGGCCTCCAAAGTCTTTTTTTTAAAGGCTCATCAAAAAGCAACATCAAATCACTAGGTCTGTCCCTATTACATAAACAAACAACTTGGGTTTGGACCGTTTCAACTTTTTGGAAAACGATAAATGAACGCAGCCCTATACAGAAATTGATCAGCAAAAATAACTGAGGACACTAACATGTTGGCAGTAGGTTGGGTGGCCAATGGAACAAGGGTCATTATATTAGCTCTTAATTAATTTTTATACTCAATCTTGATTTTCATTGGCCGAAGTCTCAAGGAAAATATATGCACGCTGGCAGCTACGTATATACTTGGAAACTTTCCCCAACAATTATGCGGAAAATGCTGCCCCTCACTCCTAGGGTGCCTGTCTACTCTGAAAGTAAGATTTATGGTGTATTCTTTTGGTCCAGATCCATGTTAAATTAGTAAAATAGCATTGACTGCTCTGGACTCTCAATCTATAAGGATAACGCTAAGGTTAAAACGGACAGACGAACAATAGATGCGGCACTATTGCAAAAACTTAGTTTGCATATTTATAGACACTGGCCCCAGTATCTTATCAGTAACTCAGTAACATTTCAAATGATGAGTAAATAGATATTACTAATGGAAATCAATTTTATATTAGTGAAATTATATATATTCACAACATGTACATGTACACATTTGCAAAATTACATTTACCTGTGACACTGAACTATAAGACAACATTCTAATTTGGTTTGAAATCTAGTTCATTTCATGATTTTTGGAAAGAGTGAGCTAAAAATTATACTTACAAAGTTATTTCCCTTTGTGTACTGTGAGAACCAACAAGCATAAACTTATTTGTCCCAAAAAGGATATCCTTTTTCTAGAAGCATTTCTTTTCTTAAAATATTCTACACAAGATCCGGGGGAGGTGTATGTTTAGGGAGGTAATTGTGTATATATGTGTGAGGTTATCAACTGTCCTCAAGACGCTCTATGCTTTTGCCCCTTTGCTGTACTAGATCCTCAGATGTGTTTGCATGTGTAAGGGAGGTAAGTATGTACATATGTAGCTGAGATTATCTACCTTCCTTCATGATGCTCTAAACCCTTGTCGTTAGGAAGTAGTTATGTGCAAGGGGAGGTAAGTATGTACATAGGGCGTGTGAGGTTATCTACCTTCCCCCAAGATGCTCCAAATCCTTGTCCCTTTTGAGTATCAGGTCCTTCACAGTTAGAGAGTAGGTGTGCTCAGTATCTGGATTGGGTATCAGGGCTGCTTTCGTTTATTGCACTCCAAACAGTTGAACCAGAGTTGTTCATTTATAAAATAAGGTCGGACCTTGTAATATGATGCTGCTTTCAGGCGAGCCTTGAAATAGCCTTGCACGGCCTGCATAAACATTTGCAAGTTCGCCAGGATAAAGAAACAGGTCCCAGGTCTTCAACAGTTAGGGAGTAAGTATGTGTAAGGGGAGGTAAGCATGTACATAGGCGTGTGAGGTTATCTACCTTTCCTCAAGATGCTCCAAATCCTTGTCCCGCTGGAGGATCAGGTCCTCCACAGTTAGAGAGTAGGTGTGCTCCAGGTTGAGAAGGGTGTCCAGAGCCGGAGAATGGATCAAACTGTGGTACACTTCGGAGAATTGCTGTTCCTGACTGGCCTCTTCTGGTTTTGCATACGTCTTTACTTCCTGTAATAGGAAATTAAACAACACATACAATAGCATGGGAGGAAATTTGCAAATACACACATTTTATAGTTTCATAAGCTGGTAACTTGTTAAAAATAAAATTAAACATTATTTATTTTACAATAATTATGAAACAAGTTCTATCAACTTTTATTAATCACTCTTATTATCCAGGATGGTAGTGCACTAGGGTGGACTTAATGTTGAAGGAAACTGAAATACCCTTTGAAAACCCACGTGGTTGGGCAGGTGACCCTATACCTTTTTACGTCAGATTGGGGAATCAAACCTCGGTCGCTTTGGTGTGGGAAGTGTGCCATCTGACCAGTAAAAGTGTCACTACTACCATATTCAATTCAAATTTTCTTAAATACATGATGAATTATGGATGCAAATAAGATATGAAGGAATTAGAAATGTTTATGTAAAAGCTGAAAATCATGTTTATCATGATAATTTTTAATGAGATGGATTATTCACTTTTTTCAATTTCCAAAGTACATTTTTATTATGGAAACATGCAGTGATTTTCATTGGCTGTTCATTTTGATTTTTTTATCTTTTTATCTTCTTCAAATTTTAATGGATATTCATCGCAAATTTATTCAATGCTGATAGGAAACCAGGTAAACATGTACATTGATATTCATATAAACATAAATGAATAGGTATGAAGACGGTGCCGGATATTTGAATTTCTAGTTATGTAAAATTATCCCATATGCTTTTTTATCATTTTATTCTTCAGGAGACAAACAAAATCTTTCTCTAGATCACGAAGATGAACAAATGGCCCATGAAGGGTGTAGCACTCTTCATATGTATACAAAACATTGAATCCTCTTAGTCAAGAACCAAACCATCTTGGTTTCTGTTTTAGACCGGTACAGATAAATCTCTCAATCCCATCAACTGTTCTGGACTGTAAGTCTTTTCAAAGAAAAAATAATGATGGGCAATCTCATGATGGACATCATTTCATGGCAACATAAAGGTGGATTCCCACTCAATAAGCTACAAGTAATGTTGCCGCTATGTCACCCAACCCTCTGATTAAGGTACAAGTAATGGTACCTGGATGTCACCCCACCCTCTGATTAAGGTACAAGTAATGTTGCCTGGATGTCACCCCACCCTCTGATTAAGGTACAAGTAATGTTGCCTGGATGTCACCCCACCCTCTGACTAAGTTACAAGTAATGTTGCCTGGATGTCACCCCACCCTCTGACTAAGTTACAAGTAATGTTGCCTGGATGTCACCCCACCCTCTGATAAGGGTACAAGCAATGTTACCTGGATGTCACCCCATCCTCTGAAAAGCTACAAGTAATGCTGCCTGTATGTCAACCATCCCTCTGATTTAAGTACACGTAATGTTACCTAGATGTCACCCCAACCTCTAATTAAGGTACAAGTAATGTTGCCTGTATGTCAACCATCCCTCTGATTTAAGTACACGTAATGTTGCCTGGATGTCACCCCACCCTCTGATTGAGCTACAAGTAATGTTGCCTGGATGTCACCCCACCCTCTGATTACGGTACAAGCAATGTTGCCTGGATGTCACCCAACCCTCTGATTAAGGTACAAGTAATGTTGCCTGTATGTCAACCATCCCTCTGATTTAAGTTCACGTAATGTTGCCTGGATGTCACCCCACCCTCTGATTGAGCTACAAGTAATGTTGCCTGGATGTCACCCCACCCTCTGATTAAGCTACAAGTAATGTTGCCTGGATGTCAACCCACCCTCTGACTAAGTTACAAGTAATGTTGCCTGGTTGTCACCCCACTCTCTGATTGAGCTACAATTTATGTTACCTCGATATCACCTGACCCTCTGATTAAGGTACAAGTAATGGTGCCTGGATGTCAACCAACCCTCTGATTAAGCTACAAATAATGTTGCCTGGATGTCACCCCACCCTCTGATTAAGCTACAAGTAGTGTTGCCTGGATGTCAACCAACCCTCTGATTATCTCTACCCTCTGATTAAGCTTCAAGTAATGTTACCTGGATGTCACCCCCCCCTCTGATTAAGCTACAAATAATGTTGCCTGGATGTCACCCCACCCTCTGAAAAGCTACAAGTAATGTTGCCTGTATGTCAACCATCCCTCTGATTAAAGTTCACGTAATGTTGCCTGGATGTCACCCCACCCTCTGAAAAGCTACAAGTAATGTTGCCTGTATGTCAACCATCCCTCTGATTAAGCTACAAGTATTGTTGCCTGGATGTCAACCCATCCTACTAATAAAGCTACAAGTAATGTTACCTGGATGTCACTTCACCCTCTAATTAAGCTACAAGTAATGTTGCCTGGATGTCACTCCACCCTCTAATTAAGCTACAAGTAATGTTGCCTGGATGTCACCTCACCCTCTAATTAAGCTACAAGTAATGTTGCCTGGATGTCACTTCACCCTCTAATTAAGCTACAAGTAATGTTGCCTGGATGTCCCCCAACCCTCTGATTAAGGTAAAAGTAATGTTGCCTGGATGTCACCCCACCCTCTGATTAAGTTACAAGTAATGTTGCCTGGATGTCACCCCACCCACTGATTAAGCTACAAGTAATGTTGCCTGGACGTCACTTCACCCTCTGATTAAGCTTCAAGTAATGTTGCCTGGATGTCACCCCACACTCTGATTAAGCTACAAGTAATGTTGCCTTGATGTCACCCCACCCTCTGATTAAGCTACAGGTAATGTTGCCTGGATGTCAACCAACCCTCTGATTATGGTACAAGTAATGTTGCCTGGATGTCACCCATCCCTCTGATTAAGGTACAAGTAATGTTGCCTAGATGTCACCCCACCCTCTGATTAAGGTACAAGTAATGTTGCCTAGATGTCACCCCACCCTCTGATTAAGGTACAAGTAATGGTGCCTGGATGTCAACCAACCCTCTGATTAAGGTACAAGTAATGTTGCCTAGATGTCACCCCACCCTCTGATTAAGGTACAAGTAATGGTGCCTGGATGTCAACCAACCCTCTGATTAAGCTACAAGTAATGTTGCCTGGATGTCACCCCATCCTACTGATTAAGCAATAAGTAGTGTTGCCTGGATGTCAACCAACCCTCTGATTATTGTACAAGTAATGTTGCCTGGATGTCACCCCACCCTCTGATTAAGGTACAAGTAATGTTGCCTGGATGTCACCCCACCCTCTGATTAAGCTACAAGTAATGTTGCCTGGATGTCACCCCACCCTCTGATTAAG